TGTACAAGTTTGGTAGTAATAGTTTTATAGTTCTTATACGCAAATCCTGCCCTTCTTTGTTTATTCCTGAGTATTTGTTCTGAAACTCTTATGAATGAAAGTGTTTTTTTTTTTTTTAATTTTGTTTTTGGATTGTTTATTGCTAGCAAATAGAAATACAATTGATTTTGTATGTTGATCATGTATCCTGTGACTTTCCTAGAAAGAGATTTACTTCTTCCTTTCCAATCCATATGTATTTAATTTTCCTTTCTTGCTTTATTGCATTGGTTAGTCTGCTGCAATGGTGAGTAGAAGTAACAGCAGACATCTTTGCTTTATTCCAGCTCTTAGGGGGAAATCATGAAGTTTTTCATTATGACATGTGCTATAGGTTTTTCATAGATGCCCTTTATCAGGTTGAGGAAATTTCCTTCTATTCCTGATTTGTTGGCAGTTATTATCATAAATGGATGTGGATTTTTATCAGATTGAGGAAATTCTGTGGGTTTTGGTCCTTTATTCTATTAATATTGTGTATTACATTAATTATTTTCAGATACTAAACCAATCTTGTGTTCCTACAATAAATACCATTTAAAATGTTGTATAATAATCCTTTTAAAAATGTAGGTAGGTTAAATAAGCATTAATTAATATGAATTAATTTTCCCCAAGAACTTTTTTCTGCTTTCATTAGTAATATTGATCTTTAGTTTTTTTTTTCTTGTGATTTTTTTTTTCTGACTTTGATATCAAGGTAATACTGGCTTCAAAGAATATGTTGGAAATCTTTTTCCTGTTTTCTGCAAGAGTTTGTGTTAGTTGGTATTATTTCTTTAATATTGATAAAATTTATTAATGCAGCCACCTGGGTCCACCCTTTTCTTTGTGAGATATTTAAATTAATTAAATTTATTTGCTTGTTAGCTCTATTCAGGTTTTCTCTTTCTTCTTCAGTAAATTTTGGTGATTTGTGTTTGTCTTAGGAATTTGTTCATTTTATCTAAGTTGCTTAACTTTGTTGGCAGTAAGTTGTTGATAGTCTGTAATCCTTTTAACTTTTGTAGTTTTGGTAGTTAAGAAATCTCTTTCATTTTTATTTGGTAATGTCTGCATTGTCTCTTAATTGGCCCGTCTCAATAAAAGTTTAACAAATTTGTTAATCATTTCAAAGAACTAGCTTTTTGTTTCATTGATTCTTCTATATTGTTTTTCTGTTTTCCTTTTCATTGATTTCTGCTCTGACATTTATTATTTTCTTTCTTTTGCTTGCTTTGGGTTTAACTTTGCTCTTCTTTTCTAGTTTCTTAAGGTGGAAACTTTGAGTATTTATTTGAGGTCTTTCTTTTCTTTAATATGAACTTTTAATGCTATAAATTTACCAGTAAGTGCTGCATTACTTGCATCCCACACATTTTCATAGCTTTATTGAAAAATAACTCACCTGTAATAAACTGCACATATTTGAAATATACAATTTGATATTTTGACATTCATAAAATATCCAAGAATCACATTCAAGATAATAAGCATTTCTATCACCTTCAAAAATTTAGTGGTCTTTTATAATCCATTTATCCATTCTTCCTCATTGCTTCTAATTTTTTGGCATGTTGTGTTATCATTCTCATTCTGTTCAGAATATTTTCTGATAATCCTTCTGATTTCTTCTTTGAGCCATCATTAATTTAGAGGAGTGTTGTTAAGTTTACAAATTTTCAAAATTTCTTTCTGCTTTTGATTTCAAATTTAATTCCATTGTGGCCAGAGAATATCCTTTAAATGATTCAGATCACTTTAATTCATTGAGACTTATATTATGGCCAGATATCATCAATCCTGGAGAATGTTCTGCATGTACTCAAAAAGAATGTATTCTTCTGTTGCTGGAGTGTTCTATCAATGTCAGGTCAATACAGCTGATGGTATTGCTCAAATGGTTTATTATCTTTATTGATTTTCTGCCTAGTTATTCTATTATTTAGAGTGAATTATGAAAATCCCCAACTATATTTATTGAATTCTCTATTTCTTCTTTCAGTTCTGTCAGGTTTTTCTTCTTGTGTTTTGGGACTCCATTATTAGAGTCATACACATTTACAACTTTTACACTTTCCTGACGTATTAGGCCTTTTTATCATTATGAAATATCTCTTTTTCTCTAGAAAAATTTCTTGTCTTAAAGTGATTTTTCCTGAATTAACATAGCCATTCTAACTATATTAATGTTTACATGTTTACCTTTTGCTATCCTTTTAATTTGATATGTTTGTATTTTTGAGTCTAAAATATGTCTCTTGTAGATAGAATATACTAGAATCTTGCTTTAAAAAATCCAATGAGATAATCTCTGCCTTTTTTTAGAATTTAGCCCTTTCATATTAATATGATTGATGGAGTTGGATTTACATCTGCCATTTTGCTATTAGTTTTCAATATGTCTTATTTATATTTTTGTCCCTCCTCTATTGCATTTTTTGTTTTAAATTAGTATTTTTGTGTATCATTTTTATTCCTCTGTTTTTTAAACTATGAATTTTTTTTCAGTAGTGACTGCTCTGTGGTTTTAAAATATACATATTGAGGTATCACAATTTATTTCAGGCTAATATTGACCTTATTGAAGTACAGTATGGCCACTTTGCTTCAATACTGCTCCATTTCCTCCCCCCTCATTTGTAGCATTATTGTCATATATGTCTATATGTGTTATAAGCCCAAATGACATGATTTTTATAATTACCCTTGCAATCTTATAGTTTTGGAAGAAGTTAAGAGAAGAGAAAATAAAAAACATATTTAAACAGTCTTTTATATTTATCCACATATTTAGTATTTCTGGACTCTGCATTTCTTCCTGAGGATTTGAGTTCCTATCTAGTGTCATTTCCTTTCATCTTGAAGAACTTCTTTTAGTATTTTTTATATGGCAGTTCAGCTACCAACAAATTTTCTTAGTATTTATCTAGGAATATTTTTAGTTTGCTTTCATTTTTGAAGGATTATTTTGCTGGATATAGAATTCTTGATTAACAGCTTTAATTCCCACCCCCCCAACACTTTAAATATGTCATTCCACTGCCAGCTGTTAATCATATTGTTATTCCTCTGTACATGCTGAGTCATTTTATTCTTGATGCTTTCAAGATTTTTTGTCTTTCAACAGGCTTGATACAATTTATTTATCCTATATTTGGTATAAACTTTTTGCACCTGTAGACTGATCTTATTCACCAAATTTGGGAACTCTGTGGCTTTTTGGGAACTTTTTGAAACTTATTTCCTTGAGTATTCTTTTTTCTGTATCTCTCTCTTCTCAAGTTTGGAATTCCCACTATATGTGTGTTGGCATGCTTGGTGTTGTCCTACAAGTTTTTACATCTCTCTTTTTTTTTTAAAAAAATTTCTTTGTTCTTCATGTTGGATGACTTCTATTTTGCTATTTTCAAGTTTACTGATTTTTTTATTCTGCCATCTCAGATATGATATGGAGGCCATTTAGTGAATATTCATTTTGATTATTGTATTTTTCACTCAAATTTTCTTATATTTTTATTCTATTATTTTAAAGTTTTATATTCTCAATTTTCTTTTTTTTTAAAGATTTTATTTATTTATTTGAGAGAGAGAGCACAAGCAGGGTGAGGGGCAGAGGGAGAAGTGGACACATCACTGAGCAGGGAGTCTGATGTGGGGCTCAATCCTGGGACTCTGGGATCATGACCTGAGCCAAAGCCATATGCTTAAACAACTGAGCCACCCAGGAGTCCCTATATTCTCTATTTTCATTCCTGGTTTGAATTATTGTCATTGTATTTTCCTTTAATTCATCAAATTTTTTTTTTATTGAGGTGATAGTCACATACATAAAATTAACTACTTTAAAGTATACAATTCAGGGCGCCTGGGTGGCTCAGTTGGTTGAGCAACTGCCTTCGGCTCAGGTCATGATCCTGGAGTCCCGGAATCGAGTCCTGCATCGGGCTCACTGCTCAGCAGGGAGTCTGCTTCTCCCTCGGACCCTCCCCCCCTCATGCTCTCTCTATCTCATTCTCTCTCTCAAATAAATAAATAAAATCTTTAAAAAAATAAAGTATACAATTCAGTGGCATTTAGTACACTCACAATGTTATTCTAAAAAATTTCATCACTCCAAAAAGAAATTTTGTACCCATTAAACAGTTGCTTCCAATTCCCCCTTCCCCTAGTCCCTGGAAACTCCCAATCTGTATTATGTTTCTATTAATTTACCTATTCTGGGAACTTTATGTAAATGTAAAAATATACAATATTTTGTTTCTGGTTTCTTTTGCTGAGCATAATATTTAAGGTTCATCCACATTATATTTCATTTCTCTTTGTGGCTGAGTGATATTTCATTGCATGTATGTATCACAATTTATTTAGCCAATGGACATTTGGGTTGTATCCATCTTTTTATTATCATGAGTATTGTTACTATAGCCATGCATGCATGTGTTTTTGTTTGTGTACATGTTTTCAGTTCTTTGGAGTATATTCCTAAGAGTGGAAAATGCTGGGTCATTTGGCAATTCTATGTGTAGCCTTTTGGGGAATCATCAAACTATTTTCCACAATGGCTATACCAGACTACATTACCACCAGCAATGTATGAACATTCCAATTTCTCTATATCCTCACCAATTCGTGTTACTTTCTCTGTGAAATGTGAAATGTTACCTCATTGTGGTTTTGATTTGCATTTCCCTCAAAACTAATGCTCTGTTGAACATCTTTTCATATACTTGTGGGCTATTTGTATATTTTCTTTACAAAAAGACATATTCAAGTACTTTGCCCATTTTTAAATTGGGTGTTTATCTTTTTGTTGTTGAGTTGTAAGAGTTCTTTGTATATTCTGAATGCTAAAATATTATTAGATATATGATTTGCAAATATTTTTTCCCATTTTGTAGGTTGTCTTTTTACTTTCTTAATAAACTTCGATGCACAAAAATGTTTAATTTTTATGAAGTCCAGTTTATCTATTTTTTTTCCAGGGGAGAGCACAAATGCAGTCCCCCATTACCCCAATTATGCAGTCAAGTTTCCCACATTTGGGAAAATCATAGGGGTCAGCATATCTGGAGTGCAATGGTAAGTCTTGCCCTGGGAAAACCACCTTCCTGATCATGGTATCTCCACTGCCAGGTTAAGTGTATCTATCTATTTTTTTTTTCTTTTGTTGTTTATGCTTTTGGTGTCTTATCTAAGAATTCACTGCCAGGTCCAAGATCATGATGATTTACCCTTATGTTTTCTTCTAAGATTTTTATGGTTTTGCTATTATTTAGGTTGCTGGTCCATTTTGAATTAATATTTGCATATGGTGTGAAACAGGGGTTTTTCTTTAATTCTTTAAACATAGTGTTCTTTAATTCTCTGAACATGTTTATTATAATAGCTGCTTTGAAGTCTCAGTCTGCTAAATCCAAATTCTACATCTGGGCCAGCTCAGCATTAGTTTATAATGATTCCTTTTTTCCCCTGAGTATAGTTCATACTTCCCTATTTATTTATGTGTCTTGTGATTTTTTTTAATTGAAAACTGGACATGGAAAAAATATATTGTAGCAACTCTGGATTGGGGTTTTTCTCCTGAAAGGTTTTTTCTTTAATAACTTGCCTGAGCTTAATCTGTAGAATCCATCTTCTAATCATGTGTAACTAGATGTATTTGCTTAGTTTTTGAATTCTTATCTTTTTTTTTTTTTTAGCTTGGCTTAAGAGTTGCCACTATATCTGTGTAGATCCATAGTCAGATGATGATTGGGAAGATGTTGTGCTCATATGTCTTGGACTCTTCCATGCACCACATTCTGCTGATTGATTTGTACTTAGGTTGGGGAGTGCAGTCCATGTTTAGGCAGTTTTCAATTTTGCCTTAAGGTTTAGTTTTAGTTTCTTCTGTGCTCTCTTGAGTCTTCCCTGCACCTACCTGCCAGAGGTTCTCTGGATAACCATGATGTGTGAGTAGCTTATTTAGTTCTTACAGTATCTCCCCATTAAATTTCTGGCTGTTTCACCACTCACCTCAAGTGGGGCTGCAACCTCATATTAACAAATCTGTGGGTTTTCCCTCATTAATTTTCTTCTGAGTTTGCACGTTTACTGACAGCATCACCAATTACAGGTTTGTCTTCCACTCCAAAACAGGTCAGCTCCCTTTGGCATTAGAGATGACGTTTTTCACAGTTAGCTTTGCCCTGACAAAATTATGGTGCCAAGCAATGTGGGGAAGTGGACAGGGGAAGCCCTAGGAAGAAAGCCACTGACTCAAACATCTAGCAGTTTTTCATGCATAACCACTTCCAATTAATCATTTACCTTTGGTCAATTTCCAGAATCCTTAAATGTTTGTATTTGATGACTTTATCCAGTTTTATATTTGTTTTATGAGGCAAAAGGTGGCTGATCTCTTTTCTCCGTTATGGCTGGAAGTCCTACTACCACAATTATTATTTGTAAATTTGATTTGTTCATTTTCACATGGTCAAATATATCAGTGTTTTCCCTAGTGTCCTACTTAGGATTTATTTATCCCAAGATTACATTGTAATAAACAGAAATTTTATTCTACAACATCATGGCTTAATTTTCTATTCAATTTTTTAGTCATTTCAAATTTATTTATTTCTTTGTAAAGAGGTAGGACTCTAGCTTACTTTTTTCTCTTTGTTGTTAGCTAGTTAGCTGTCCCACCCCATTTTTAAGATAATCTCTTTTTTCCCCCCGCTGATTTAAAAAACAACTGTTTAAATATTTGAGTGATATGCTTACTTACTTGACTTTTCATTCTATTCCATTCGTTTCTGTTTTTACTTTTCATTGAAAATGCCACAGTTCTAATTATTATACCTTTAGAACAGAGTCTAACATAAAGTGTGACGAGACCCTCCCTCCTGCCTCTTACATTTCGAATCACAGGATGGTGCATTTTTCACACCGCAAAGTTAACATGCATTCATTCACTCAAGCATCCAGTCTTTCATCACACAGATATTTTTTGAGCTTGTATTGCACAAGGCACCTGCCAAGGTGCCAGGCAATGCAGTGACTGGGGGTGTGATGGTGAGCTGCAGCAACATGGTCTCCACGTTGCTGGAATCTGCATTCTAGCATGGAGGCAAAGAAAAGAGTAAACAGACAAATTAATAAAATCACTGAAAATGACAACCTTGACTATGAAGCAACAAATCAGGGTGGTGAGGTGGAGAATAGCAGAGGGAACCTGTGTTAACTGGTGTGGTTGGAAGAGTTGTTTGATGGTAGGTCAAAGCCTACAGGTAGGCAACAGCCATGCAGGAGCTAAACATTGCTTTTTGTTTCTAAACACTTGTGCATTTGTCCCAAAACCACTCATTCTAAAATTTATCATTTTCCCACGTGGATGGGAAGAAATAGTCCGTGCAAAGAGAATAGCACATGCCTGCATACCCGGCTGTGGAAAAGAACCCGAGGAGCTGAAAGAAAGCCTGTGTGGCCTATACCTGACACATGGGAGGGCTTGTGAAGGGGCAGGATTAGGTAAAGAGGTAGCAGGTCTTGCCAAGCCTTGTAGACCAGAGAGGGAAGTTTGGATTGTATTCTTAGTGCAGTGGGAAGCCCCTTAAGGGTCGTCTGCAGGACAGTAATGAATTATGTTTTCAGAAGACCTCTCCTGCTGTGGTGTGGAAAAGGGCCTGGAGAGGCCAAATGGAGGAAGGCGGAACACGAGTTAACAAGCGTTTGCATGGTCAGGGAGGGCTGCTGGTGGTGGTGGCAGTCCAAACTGGAGGGAAGGTGGGGCGGTGGCCAGGGGATGGGTAGCATGTCCTACTGATGAGCCAGACATGGGGCAGATGGAAAGGCAGCTGAAAATCTGGGGGACAGTTCTGTCCACCTGCATGTTCTGGAAATAGGCCTTTAGTTATAAGCTGGAAAAGGACACAGAAGGAATTTCTGCTTAGGCGGGCTGCCTTTTTTGCAGGCAGCTTCCACCCTGAGCCTGGAGCATAAGCTGTGAGTGTCTCGGGAGATGATTGACATAGGGGGTGTGGCACACTTCATTGGAGATCCAGCGGTGTGGATGGTGAGGGAGTGACTCTGAACCTCTCAGTAAGCATCACGCACCAGGACTGGGAAGGGCCAAGAATGCAGCTGAAAAGCCAATCGGCGTGAGAGGAAGATGTAAACAATTGACAGAATGTTATGGGCTGAACAGAAATGTCAGGGTATTAAAGTGGGTGTCTGAGAAAACAGCAAGTTGCAATCTGAAATGATGAATAAGCCACTGACAGTTGTCACAGAATGTGTGATAGCATGTGTGAGCGGAGAGGAGGCAGTACTGCACTCCGGGTGGCAGTGGTGGGCATGGAACCCAGCCAGGTCCTCCTGCAGCCAGGGATGGAGCCAAGACGCTGGCCCAGGGTGCCCTGGTGCAGTCATCACCTTTCCAATCACGTATTGAGGTCTGCCTTCCCGGCTGGAATGGGAATTCCATCAGGGCAGTGTGCCAGGTGGCCCCGGGATTCCTGCTCCCTGGTGCATGTGCCCTGTATAACCCTTCCCTGTGAACATAGAGGAGATGTGTGAATATGATGTGGTGCATGGCAGAGGTGAAGGGATTTTGCAGATACAATGAAGATCCCACAGGTATTGGTTTTGAGTTAATCAAAAGGGAGATGACCCTGGGTGGGCCTGACCCAATCAGGTGAACCCTTTAAAAGAGGGTCTAGAAGTCAAGGACTTGAAGAACAGAGATGCTCTCCTGTTGGTCTTTTTTTTTTTTTTTAAAGATTTTATTTATTTATTTGAGAGAGAGAGAATGAGAGACAGAGAGCATGAGAGGGAGGAGGGTCAGAGGGAGAAGCAGACTCCCTGCCGAGCAGGGACCCCGATGCGGGACTCGATCCCGGGACTCCAGGATCATGACCTGAGCCGAAGGAAGTCGCTTAACCAACTGAGCCACCCAGGCGCCCACTCTCCTGTTGGTCTTGAAGAAGCAAGCTGCTGTGTTGTGGCAGGGGGCCGTGGGGGCCTCTAGGAGATGAGGGCCTCACTCCTACAACCACAGGGAATTAGCTCATACCCAGTGAGCTTGGAAAAGGACCCCGGGCCTCAGCTGAGATCATAACCCTGGCCAACATCTTGATTGCAGTCCAGTGAGACCCTCTACAGAAGACTCAACTGAGCTGTGCCCAGGCTCCTGTCCCAGAGAAACTTTGAGCTAATAAACGGGTGCTTTAATTGTTAAGTTTGTGCTAATGTGTATGAAGCGATAGACAATTTACACAGGCAGGGACTACTATGACCGCCTTGTTCATTGCCATGTCCTCGTACCAGGCAGATGGCCTGGTCTATCGTAGATATTCAATACATGTTTGTTTGATGAATAAGCGAATGGAGAGATGTTGGATAGATGGGAAGTTGTGTGTGCTCTCATAAGCCATGGGGGTTTGTGTGTATACCTTAATGATCCATGGGGTTCTAGCTGCCTGTGAGCTCAGCAGGAGGCTCACTGCAGTGGGATTCCTAACAGAGACCAATATGGCCTGAGGTTGCATTTGCGTGGGTCCCAGGTGAGGAAGGTTAACCTCTTCTGTCGGGGTTGGAGTAAATGTGCATGCATTGGTGCATAAATTCTTTGTGCTGTGATTTACAACCCTGGGCTAATCTGAGAGTATTGCAAGAGGTGCACCAGACTGGCTTAGGGCTTGGAGACTTCATTTCAAGGTGTGGTGAAGGGGACCCAAGGTTGGGAGACCAGGAGGTGCGTGCATGAGACGGTGGCACTGGGCTTGATCAGTAAAGCAGGCCTGCTGGTAGGAATCTTGTGTATGGGGAGAGCTCACCAAGCCTGAGTCTGCCAGGAGGTGTTTAAAATCTTCTAATGACTTCCCAGTGCCTTGGAATAAAGTCCACTCCTTCCACATATCTGTCAGGCCTGACATGCTCCCACCTGGCCTTTGGTTCTAGCCTCATTTTCTCCCACTAGCCCATTCCCCCACCCAGCTCTGGCCATACTGACCTTTCTCACTGTCCCCCAACATGCCAGGTCCCTCCCTGCCTGGCTGTCCCCTCTGCCTGGATGCTGCCCTCTGGCTTTTTTTTCTGAGGTGGCTCCTTGATCCTCACCTCCCCATAGAGGCCTTCTTAGACTCATGTCTGAAGACATTCTT